GGTGTTCGGGGTTGCATCCAACTCCGAGGATCCCGCCATCGGAATCCCTGATCCGCAACGCGTCGCCAATTCAGGCTCCTCTCCCACGTGCACAAGCATGCTACTTTTTGGACACGAAAAAGAACTCGAACAGGCCGACGTTTCAATCGACAGGTATTCTGCTGGTAGAAGAAACTGGGAGTAATGTATTCCGGAAGGATGCAGAGTGGCAATCCGCCAGTGGACATGCGCTGTTCCAGTCACCTTGCACCTTTCGCTCTGCGCAGACGGGCTCCCTTGATCAAAAACAGGGCTGACAAGCGAACTACACCTGTTCTTTCCCCGTGCCGAGGCATCTCTCGTTGCATGGTGACAGCAGCTGCAGCAGGCACAGAGCATGCCTCCTTTGCAGAAGCACAGCGTGTACAAGAAAAAGGCGAGCTCACCGAGTTTCCAGCTGCAGCCGGGGTCTATGCAGTTTATTCACCCGATGGCAGACTGCAGTACATAGGCCTTTCCAGGAAGGTGAGGATCACATTCGTCTGCTCGACTCGTGGGCGTTGATCTGGCTCGATCACCCTGGGCACCTTTTGCCTACTACTGCTTTCCTTAGGCATGTACTTTGAGACGACACCGAACTTGTACTGCAGATAGCAGTGAGCATCGCCAGCCACATTCAGGAGCTGCCAGATCTGACACACTCGGTCAGGTATGAGGTGATTGCGAGCGCCACGCGAGAGGACCTCACAGCCAAGTGGCAGGAGTGGGTCCAGGCAGCAGGTAACTCCTTCTTCCCTTCTTTCCGCATGGCAATGACCTCATTTGCATGGCAGGACGCCTTGGCTCATGCGCTGTACACCCGTGTTTCAGCTGGCGGTACCTGCCGCCATACTTGCTTTTATGCCTCAAGCTGTCACAACCTGTGATGGACATGTTGTTTTACTGTCCTTGCTGCCATGGTACATGTCAAAAGCCTAGGATGTGCCAGTTTGCAGCACACTGAGGGATTAACTCCTGCCAGCGGTCAGAGTTGTAAAGTTGATTGCATTGATCTCAGCAGAAACATTCCGGCTGTGCAGTGACGGCAAATGGGGAGGTGCCGCCTGGAAATGCCAAAGGAAACACAACATGGGCAATCCGGCGCAGTGCGGCCAAGCCGGAAATCAAGTTAACGCCCGGCAAGGGGGTCCAGGATCTCACCTGCTCCATTGAAGCCCTCATTGACCAGGTTGTCAAGGACAACAAGGTGCGCACTTTGCAGCTGATGTTCCCTCCTGTGGCCCCAGCCACAGTTTGGAAATGGCAATTGCAAGGGATGATGCTTGAGTGGCTGTATCAGACTACTGGGATACGCGGGTGTTGCATGTTCGGTTTGTGTAAGTGTAAAGTAGTCTGGAAGATAGAGCAGTAAGCCAGCACAGTGCAGCTTGTCGACAGTGTTGGGAAACTTAGAATGCAAATTTTTTCAGCGTGACCTTGCAGTCATTTCTGCTCTGACAATTGGATGCTTCGCTTTGCAGGTGGTGGCATTTGTGAAAGGGACGCGTACGCAGCCACAGTGTGGGTTCTCGCACAAGGTCCTCAGCATCCTCAACGAAGTACGTGCACCATATGAAGTGGTGAGTCCTCTGCAATTGCGTTCTTCTTGTCCAAATTATTATTCTGCTAGATTTCCTACCTGGATGCACAATTACTATTTTGATTGTTTTTGACTTTCTTTTGTGATCCTAAGGAGCCTATTTTCAGGAGGTTGCCTCCTGTGCAGGTCGGAGCTGAGTGTCCTCAACCTTGTGGCTGCAGGTGAATGTGTTGGATGAGACATACAATCCGGGGTTGAGAGAAGCGATCAAGTCGTACAGCCAATGGCCCACCATTCCACAGGTGGGAGTGCTGTCGCTGTAGTTCAGGCTGAGAACTTTTAGCAGGGAACTGCCACCCTCTCTGTCTTCCTCAGCTGGGTCGTGGGTGCTGACTGACGGCAGTTTCTTGTCTATGGGCTGCATTTGCTGCTGAGATCTGCTTGGCTTCATGTGATGGGATGTGCTACCCGCCATGAGAGGTGCTGATGGAAATCTTGCTTTCTGCGCAGTTGTACATCAATGGGGAGTTTGTGGGCGGAGCAGACATTGTGGAGGAGATGCACACAAAGGGGGAGTTGAAAGCTTTGCTTTCAGTATGAGCATGACAGCTGCTGGCGTTGCTGAGATTAATAAAGAGGTCTTCAGTGATTGGGCGTGGAGCAAGCAGGGCTTTGTACAGTAGTAGAGAGCACTGTGATGTTGAAAAAGCAAGGCATTGTTCCCTTGCTTATCATGAGCTGTAAAATTTCCAACCAGGCCAAGCCGGCTGAGAATGTTTGGTATTTCACATTACTTGACTCCTCTCGGAAAAGGGTTTGAACTTCTTACAGCCAGCCTCCGAGGTCTAATCACTCAGGTACAGCATTTAGTACCCGAGTAAGTAGCACTGCAATAGTATTTCCATTATCACAAGGCCGTGGGTTGCTGCAATTCTTTTTACCAACACATGCATTCATTGCTCATTGACAAGAGCATTCACAATATGATACAGGCAGAGTGCCATTACTGATCAATGTCTAGGCTCTGCGTGAATTGCTGCAGATCATTCTTTGTGACGCCCTCCAGCCGGTCATGCGCACAGAATGCTTTCAGGAAATCTAGTTCTGCTATCCTGACCAAGCTTAGCCGTGCTTCTGTCACGTTCGGCGTGTATACTGCACCGCATATCACCATCATTCAGTCTCAATGCTTGGGTCAAACAGAGCTTCAACATGGCAGTACAACGTATGCGAGTTGAGGTGGAAACCTGCAATCGACAAACCCACACAATGCAGCAGGTGCCCCAAGTGTAGGGGCCAAGAGGGCGTGTTTTTGCGGCAGTTTTTGCGGCAGAAAGCACCTGAAGGGGGAAGAGTGATCTTCGGAGGGTTTCCCAGGTTCCCAAACACATCGCCGGCAACCAGACTGCCCGAGGGTATATGCAAATAGGATACCTGTAGACCAAGGCTGCAAGTCATGGTGCAGTCGCAACTTTCTGGGGTGACCCTGGGTCATCTAGAACAGCAGACATTAGACGAGAGGCAGCAACACAGGCGCCATGCAGCACATGCCGAGCGGATGTCCTCACATGTCCTGGAGCATGACCAGGGCCGTGATGAAAAGTGATGATGCCTCTGGGTGAAGGCCATGCTGGCTTTTGCCCAGACGGCCCTTTTGCATCGGCAATGTCGCCATTCGTTCCTAAATACACCATGACAGCAACCACCTCACGGGAGAAAGTCATCATCCACACATCTCTACTCGCTGCAGGATGAAGGCCTTGTATCCGCAACCTCAAGCAGTCACCTCTCACAAGCAGCACGCGCGAGGCTGGTAAAGCAGAGCTGACATCAAATCTTGATGCCGCGTACTTAGGATCGTCAGCTGGTATGTCCTTGTAGTCAGCATTCCCTGTGCAAGTGTCCCACACAGGCTGCCATTGACTGAGTGAGCCATCAGTCATCTGCAGATCCATTGCAAGAATGTGCGAGAAGAATGCACCACAGCACTGAAGGTCGCCTCCGTTGCCATTGTATATTGCCTGCATTTTAAAGGTCACACAGTAACAGCGTGGGTGACTCACCTGTGAGGAACGGCGCCTCTGCTTCGTGAAACAGGACTTGCACTTTGGGGTACTCTTTCACCAGCGCTTCAAGGGCCCCGACATGGTCGATGTGACCGTGGGTCACTATGTAGCAGCAGGAATGCCAGGTTATAGTTTAGCTCCAGAACATGTGCTTCCCTCAGAAAGTGTTGTAAGACATGACTCACATGAACGCATTCTCATCTTGCTTGACCAGATCTGGAGCTAGTGCATGGGCATGGGCTCACATATGACCCAGCGAAGTTCGCCGTCTTTCACAGCCTCTTGTAATCCGGCAGATACAATCTGCTCATACTCTTCGCCTGGTGCACCCACATCCACAAGGATGTAGTCTTGGCCAATCTTGACGAGGAAGACATGGACATCGACCAAAATACCACGCCTTGGACCCCCGGGAATCTTCCACAGGAACCCTTGCCGGTAAAGACTTTCTGCAACATGTTGGAAATCCACTGGGTATGAGTCAGGCCTTCCCGTAAGTTTTGCCCTTAAAGTCTCAGAGTGAAAGGAAGCGCCGATGGCCAGAAGGGTAACCAAGAGTGCGACAGCGGCGCTGACCTTCGAATCCATCTGCTGGGACCAGATGCAACACAAATTTTTGCAGTCCTGAGACTCGCGTAAGGCGAGAGAGGAAAGCCGATAGGAGTTCCTTATGTAAGACGCTGCAGTTTCCTGCGTGCTGGAAGCTACGAAGACGGCTGGATATGTCAGAGTGTCCCTGCAATATGGGATACAGACAAGACAAAGAGAAGATCGGTCAAAAAGTGGGTCGGTGCGGGCCGCCTAGCCGGCCCATTAAGCGGCCGCTGCGCATTCGAAACGTGAGCCAGCGCGGGCCGCCTAGCCGTCCCATTAAGATGCCGCTGCGCATTCCAAAAGTGGGTCGGCGCGGGCCGCCTAGCCGGCCCATTAAGCGGCCGCTGCGCATTCCAGAAGTGAGCCAGCGCGGGCCGCCTAGCCGTCCCATTAAGCTGCCGCTGCGCATTCCAGAAGTGGGCCGGCGCGGCCGCCAAGCCGTCCCATTAGGCGGCCGCTGCGCATGCTAGAAGGTGGGCCGGTGAGGGCCGCCTTGCCGGCCCGGTTTGGCGGCCGCAGCGCATCCCAGTTTGTGGGCCGGCCAGGGCCGTCTTGCCGGCCCGGTTAGGCGGCCGCTGCGCATACCAGAATGTGGGCCGGCCAGGGCCGTCTAGACGGCCCAGTTAGGCGGCCGCTGCCCGTTTGTGTCGTCACAGTCGAGATGTCGACGATGTAAAAGTGTCCGATGCACTGCCTCCACCAAGTTCCCGTGTTGGCGAGGAGTCCTCGCCGAGGACTAAAAGCATCTATAGGTTATGGAAAAAGAAAACTTGTATCAAGGAGCGTCAGTGGTCTAGTGGTAGAATACGTCCCTGCCACGGACGAGACCCGGGTTCGATTCCCGGCTGACGCAATTTTTCTTTTTTGTTTTTTTTTGTTTTCTTTTCAGATATGGACTCATGGAGGGCTTGAAGGTCTAAAGGCCAACCACCGAAAGCTCGGGAATCGAGTTGGCGCTGTGGCTTCGTGTCAAGAAGTCGGTGGGAGTTCGCTTCCGATGCACACCGGCTCGAAGTAGGCCGACATATGGGCCGGCTAGACGGCCCTCGCCGGCCCACAAAATGGGATGCGCAGCAGCCACCTAACCGGGCCGGCCAGACGGCCCTGGCCGGCCCACATTCTGGCATGCGCAGCGGCCGCCTAACCGGGCCGGCCAGACGGCCTTGGCCGGCCCACATTCTGGCATGCGCAGCGGCCGCCTAACCGGGCCGGCCAGACGGCCCTCGCCGGCCCACAAACTGGCATGCGCAGCGGCCGCCAAACCGGGCCGGCAAGACGGCCTTGGCCGGCCCACATTCGAATGTGGGCCGGCAGTGCTGGAATTCCAGCATGCGCAGCGGCCGCAAAACTGGGCCGGCAAGACGGCCCTAGCCGGCCCACAAACTGGGATGCGCTGCGGCCGCCAAACTGGGCCGCCTAGACGGCCCTCGCTGGCCCACATTCTAGCATGCACAGCGGCCAACAAACCGGGCCGGCCAGACGGCCTTGGCCGGCCCACAAACTGGGATGCGCAGCGGCCGCCAAACCGGGCCGCCTAGACGGCCCTAGCCAGCCCACAAAGTGGGATGCGCTACGGCCGCCAAACTGGGCAGCCTAGGCGACCCTGGCCGGCCCACAAACTGGGTTGCGCAGCGGCCGCCAAACCGGGCCGGCAAGGCGGCCATGGCCAGCCCACGTTCTGGCATGCGCAACGGCCAACAAACCGGGCCGGCCAGACGGCCTTTGCCGGCCCACATTCTAGCATGTGCAGCGGCCGCCAGACTGGGCCGGAAGACGGCCCTCGCCGGCCCACATTCTAGCATGCGCAGTGGCCGCCAAATCGGGCCGGCCAGACGGCCCTGGCCGGCCCACATTCTAGCATGCGCAGTGGCCGCCAAACAGGGCCGGCTAAACGGCCCTCGCCGTCCCACCTTCTAGCATGCGCAGCGGCCACCTCATTGGGCCGGTTTAGGGTTTAGGGTTTAGGGTTAGGTTTAGGGTTTAGGGTTTAGGGTTTAGGGTTTAGGGTTTATATTTAGGTTTAGGGTTTAGGGTTTAGGGTTTAGGGTTTAGGTTTAGGGTTTAGGGTTTAGGGTTTAGGGTTTAGGGTTTAGGGTTTAGGGTTTAGGGTTTAGGGTTTAGGGTTTAGGGTTTAGGGTTTAGGGTTTAGGGTTTAGGGTTTAGGGTTTAGGGTTTAGGGTTT